GCCCTGCCCAGCCAGAAGGAAGATCCATGCTCCCTAGGTTCCCCATCCTCTTCCTCTGAATTCTTCATTCTTAGATTCAGAAACTCTTCTCAGATGTCTGCAGGCCTAGGCCTGATCTGACGGACAGAAGGCCTGGTCATCATGGATCATGAGGGCACCCAGAAAGGGGGCTGAGCTATCTGGGGAGTTTTAGGAAACCATGCACATTGGTACCTAGCTCCCCTATGTGGACCACTAGAGGAGAATCGAAGGAGACTTCTGTCTCTCTCTCTCCTCTCTCTCTCTCTCTCTCTCTCTCTCTCTCTCTCTCACACACACACACACACACACACACACACACACACACACACACACACTTATTCTACCTGGTAAGACTGAACTATAAATTGTGTAATCCTACAGGCTATCTCAACCTAGATTCCACAACAGAAGGGAGCTGGAAGGAAATTGGGGATGACTTGACTCTGAATAACCTGGTTAGAGAACGAAACATCCAGAGGAAGAGGTACATCAAGAGTTAGCCATACCTGAGCCCCATCCCAGACCACCTGAGCCGGTTTATTTGGGCACCGGCCCAGATCCAGCCATTCACAACACTTCTAGGTGATTCTGTGGGGCAGTCAGACTAAGAACCACTGCTGGGGCAAATAACAATGACTTCAGCAGAGCGAGAAAGGTGAAGTTGTTTCCACTGGCCTGGAAAGATGTGGCCGTGACAGAACAGGGGAGAGGGCCACTGAGACCCCCTTTTGGTGAGGAAGTCAGCAAAACATGATATTTCTACAGCAGAGACACCATCAAGGCTCCAGATTGGGGACCTTTGATGTAAGAAGTGGGGAAACTGGAACCAGCAGTTGGCGAAATGGCTGTCACTGGACTCCCATGTAGACGACTGCAGTTCAAGTCCCATACTTGGTGGCTTAAACTCACAACATTTTCAGGTGCATGTGCATGTGTGCGTAGGATCCAGAGAGGAGAATGGAGGAGAAGGGATTGTGGCATGGCCATCCCCCATGGAGGGTGATTTCTCTCCTTCTATCTCTGTCTCTCTTTGTCTTTCTGGCAAGTGCACACACCCTACAGAAAAAAAAAAGTGGGGAAACTGCCAGAATTAGGAAACCCATTCAATGAAACCAAATCCTCTTGTCTTAGAGCTACCACCTAGGAGCAGTTACCAGAGATGGAGAACTCTTTCTGATAGGCTGAAGTGGTGGGTACACACTATGAAGAACCCAAGAAACTCATTCCTTCATTGCCTCCTTTCTACAACTTTCCAATTGCTCTTCCTGCCTATCCTGCCTGACAGGTTAGAAGGTGTTCAATAGAGGTTTGTTTACTTGAATTGAAGTCTCTCACGAAGGTCAGAATTTAATAGTTGGTTAAGGGTGCCTTAAAGCTGGGGCTGGAAGAACCCATTCCCTTGACTTCCATTATAACATTCTGTTGATGTAAGTTGGGGTGGGGTCTAGGCTGACAGGGCAGTAACAGAGATCCTGTCCAACTGGGAAGTAGAGCAATGTGACCCTGATTTGGTGACTTTGACACATTTGGCTGCCTGAGGGGATGCTGTGAGAGACATCATCTATGCAAATGTTTGAGCTCCTTAAAATGATGTTGCAGATATTAATATGAAATCTATCTGCATGCATATAACACTATGCAGCCAGGTCCTCTGCACAATATATATCATGTCTGCAGAATTCGCTGGGAGGGGAGGCGGGGACTGAGAACCAGCAGAACACCTTTGCTGTGCTACATGGAGAACAGCCATGGAATCACAGGTTTCAGGCACATGCCAAACTCTCCTCCCTCTTGATCCCAGGTTCGCCATGCCCTGCAGGGTTTCTGTTCTGAAAAGTACACAAAGGTAGACACTGTCTCTTTAAATAGTAGAGGCTGAGAACCTCTCAGGCCACCATGACATATCCCAGCATTGGACCAGCCCCTGAATAAACTGGAAAGGTGCCTGGTCTGACTTCAGTTACAAGGAGCACCACCAGGGAACATCTCGGGAAGCCTGTGTGGAAGCAGCAAGGCATAGAGTCTGTCAGCTGCAGGTCTCGGGCTGCCTTGTGGGGAGGGCCTTGCCTTGGCATCCCTTGCATTTGCCTGCAAAGTAATCGTGTGGAGGAAAGGGCTGAGCTCTTTGACTTGGTGAGTTTTATTGGCAAACTGCTTCTGGGTGGTGTGTGCTTGTGCCTTACAGAGTTGTTCAGTTCCTGCAAATCACAAGTGGAAAGGATTGCAGCGGAGACGGTGCGTTTTTGTCGGAATTGACTGGAGAGTGAGTGGAGTGAAGTGTTGGTTATATATTGGGGCCAGCAGGTGGCATGGTAGTTAAGGTGCTGGACTCTCACATGGCTGACTGAGGTTCAAATCCCGGACCTGGTGGCTTTCTTTCTCACTTTCGTTCTTTCTCTCTGTCTCTCTCTGGTGAATTAAAATAATAACGATAACAAAGACGATTTTAAAAAACAGAGTTGGATATACACTCAGACTCAGGAGGGTCATCCAAGAGCATCTAGAAACCCTTACACATTCAGACTGAAAAAGAGAAAGGGCCTAGGTGCCTTTCCTTGGGATGCCTTTTGGCAGGTAAGGGTGATAAGCAGGGTAGGGAGACACTTCTACCTGCGAGGAGGCCAAGGTTGGCCAGGCCCTGGGTGTGGTGGAATGTGGTCTGCACTGCCTCTTCCTGCAGGAAGCGAGCACAGTGAGGGATGCATGGTTTCGCCTGCCTGGCAGTTCTGGTGTGGCCGTGATCCGGGTGGCTATTAATGAAAATATCAGGCTCAAAAGGAAGAAGTGGGCTCTGCCTTACACTGCGTGCACATTTCTAGATGTATTCCACTTCACTTAAAAGTTGACTTGGAAAACAGGAAGGTAAGGGAAATCCCGAGTTAAATAGGCTAATATTTGTAAAGTGCTTAGAACAGTACTGGGTATGTAGTGACCACAGAAATGTTGGTTAACTAAATAAAGGTCTAAATGTCATGAAACAGGATAATAATTTCCGGGGCAAATCTGACCCATGAAATGCCCCATGGAGGAGAAAAAGAAAACTTTTCATTTTTTCATTTATTCTACATGTGGGAAGGAGGGGGGGGGTCTTCAAAAAGTTCAAGGGAAATGCATATTATGAAAAATACTTCATGGGTTTCCATTGTTCCTTGCGCCAAAATAAATTTGCACTTTTTAAAAAATGATTTATTTATTATTTATTTTAATTTGACCAGAGAGGGACACAGAGAGAGAGTGTGTGTGAGAGAGAGGGAAAATGAGAAAGCAAGCTGCCAGGTCCAGTACTCGAACCATGGTCGACCATGTAGGAGTTCAGCGCCCTTAACCACCATGCCACCTGCCAGCCCCAATAAACTTGTACTTTAATTCCATTTTTCCATTAACTTTTAGAAGTCTCCTCAGCTATAACCATGGGAGTTATAAGCTGTTTTAGTGCAAAGGTCGTCAGATTTTCCTTGAAGGAACGGTTAAATGGAATGCAGTAGTAACCGTGGTGACAGTTTGGGCACTGGGCCCTTATTATGTTCCAGAAACTATGCTGACTGCTTTGTACACACGGTCTCCATTAGTCATCACCATAACCGTTTAAAGCAGGCATTATTAGGTCCCGTTTGCAGATGAGAAAACTGAAGCTCAGTGAACTTCAGAAGCAGTCTAAACTTACACCAAGAATGAAAAGGCTAATCAGATACGCTTGAGCTAGAGGGCTTAACCATTGCACTGCACTGCCTTTCAGTCAATGTCTATAAAATCCAGGTAGGATTGTTGGCCTACAGTGGGCGTTTTTAGAAGCATCCTTTAAAAGAAAAAAAAAATTTAATACCTATAAGAGTTGTTATAGTACCCTTGTTTGAAAACAACTTTCTAATTCGTTATTTAAACAAGAAGCACATGCAATTGGCTAAAGTAGTAGCTACTTTCAAATAGTAAGATAATGTGGAATTATTGAATCATTTAGGGTGTTGAGGCTTTATGACACAGTGCACTAAAAGGGAGGTGTGTGTGTGTGTGTGTGTGTGAACTGCGGCATTTGCACGCAAAGACTTTGAACACCCACCTTCTGGCTCCCTGTTCCTGCACCAAGGCTGGCCAGCCGGCGCTTTAGTTGGGAGTACAAGCGCCAAGCCCAGAATGGCCCTCCCTGTAACCGGGCTGGGAGGATCCCATTCAGGCGGCTATGAATCAGCTGATTTCTCGGGCTGCTCTTCCCCCAGTTCAAGTGGCCACTGCCCCCTCCCCACCCCACCCCACCCCCCGGTGGCCAGGACGCAGCAGAGGCTGGGCGCTAAGCCGGACTGCTGCAAGCAAACGTCCCCTGGAGCTTACTTGGCTGTGGTGTGGTTCTGCCCAGGCTAGGAGGAGCCTGATCTCAGGACACACTGCTGTCCACAGTCTCTCACCCAAGCAGAGCCTCCGGTAGCTCGGTAGCTCGAGTCCCTTGAATCCTAGAAAACCGCACAGGACTTAGATGCAGACACCGATAGCTTGGACCGGCATGGTGCAGGCGCGCCCAGCTAAGACGTTTGGACAAACCAGGCGCTCCAGGCGCGGAGAGCAGGAGGAGGTCTCCCAGTGCTTAAACGCCGGCTCGTAGCTCCGGGTAGATGGGGATTCCAGGCGCAGCCCTACGTGGGCGCACTCTGAATCTCTGCGCCCCAAAGCCCAGCGCTGTGCAGCCTCTGGGCGACATCTGGCAGGCTATTCCCACGTGGGCTGAGGGGGCGGTTCATCGGTCAACACTTAGTTTTCTGAGTTCAGTCGAGCCAGAGCAGGTGAGAGATGAGAAAGCCCAGAGACCTCTAGTTTGGAGTAAAAGTCGCCGCAGTTTTGCAGAGTTGGACTTTTCCCGAAGGCAAGTTTAAGGCTAAGTAACTGTCTCCTGCCCTCCCTCCCTCCTGTCCCCCTCCTCCCGGAGTCCCGCCCTCCAGCACACGCTGACCCAGGGACACACCCTACTGCAGCGACGCAAACAGGGCGTTGTTCCCGTTAAAGGGGAACGCCGGGAGCCTCCCACTGCCCCCTTGCTTCGCGCGCGCGCAGCCCCGCAACGCATCGGTCTTTGGGGACGCCGACAGCTGAGCGAAAGCATCCGAGTTTGTGCCTCAGGCCGCTCTGAAGATCCGGGGACGGCTACTCCTTTGGGTTGTAAGTGATCTAGTGGGGAAAGTGGAGGAGATGGAGGAGAAACGTGGGCATCTTCCGTCGACGGTGTGCCAGAAAGCTCAGAGCAGGCGCGGACTCCGGCCAGTCCCCCGTGGCTTCTGCCCGTAGCGTAGGGACCCCTGTCTGCGGCGTTTCCACCGTGTGGGGTTGGAGGAGTACAGAGAGGACTGTCTTTACGGTCTGTAGACCTTTCAGGGCCAGGGTCCTGAGACTGATGTCTGGATAGAGGACAACGGCCTTGTTTCTGTTTTGCTGGAGAGGCGTCGACCCAGGGATGCATGGGCGAAGCAGTCCCTGCCGTGGGCATCCTGAGGGTACCGGATCGCCATGGTGCCCCAGCTCCCACAACATGCCCAAGTGTCCTCCTCTTGCCGCTTCTGGGCACTGGGCCATTGGATTTCATTTAAACGCCGTGGAAGACATCAGAAAATCTTGCTTATTTTCTGCTGTGTATTCTAGAGCTTTTTGAACATGTTCCTTGTGGAGAGGAATGGAGGGGCCTGGAACATTATCTCCCTGGCCCAAGGGTTCCCGAAGACGTAGCCCCATCTTTCGCAGCCGTGCATGCCCTCTAGCGGGTCACCCCAAACTTCAGTGCCCCGTCTGTAAAACGACGTCTAGAATCTCACGATTTTGTGTTGCCGGCTCTGTCTGGACTTTCTCCTCGAACTCAACCATTTACCCTCCCACCCCATCCTTCCCGCGGGATCTGGTCCTCTCGGTCCAGGCTCCTGGGCTAGCGCTCATCACGCCCAGACCGGAGCTCGGCCGTGACCCGGTTCGCGCCGCGCCCGTGCGTGTCTGAGGCACGGACTGGCCCCCAGACGAGCACGCGTGAGGCTTGCCCGGTGGCGGAATGCGCCGGCCGGCAGGGGCTGCCTGGGAAGGCGCACGGTGGGCGGGAAGCGGGCAGGGCGGGCTGCAGGCAACCCTCCCGGGCCTCTCTCTTCTTTCCGTACTCCCCCATCCCTGCGCAGTTTGTCCCGACGGCCAGTGCCCACGCCAGGCTGAGCTGGGGCAGGACCGCTCCCCGAAGCTGGGAGATTTGGGTGGAGGCATGGAAACTAACGGAATGCGGAGCGCACTCGGGAACCCGCCTCCGAATTGCGCTCTCCCCTACAGCGTACAGTGGGTGTCTCAGGGCCTCTGGCAGAAATCGGGGCACCTACCCTTAATCCCACTCCTGCCTCCACCTCACAGGGAAATTCGCCCTGGTCTAGGGTCCAAGGGAACGTGGTTTCTCCCTCTTCCCCAAGACGGGGCGCCCGCGAGTGGCGCGCCGTGGCCTCCGCTAGTCATCCTGGAAACTCACCCCCTCCAGGGTGATTTAGACCGGCACGCCGCTTGTTTTGCTCCCAAAGCAAAAAGGTGCCATGGCAGGCGGGCCCAGTGGGTGACTGCTGCCCCCTCTCGGCGGCGGGGCGGCGCCAGGGCGCCCTCACCCTCGTGGGCGGGCGGGAGGGCAGGCCTCTGGGCGCCGGGCCAGGCCCCGCATTCCGCTAGCGCAGGGACCCGCCCTCGGCGCGCTCCTCCCTCGCAGCTTGCTGGCCAGTGCGCCCCGCCTCACCTCCAGCTTCGGCTCTCTCCGCAGAAAGTCCGCTGAGCAGAACTTGAGAACTTGCCGCCAGAATGCTTCTCCTGTTGCTGGGGATCATTGTCCTGCACGTGGCGGTGTTGGTGCTGCTGTTCGTCTCCACGATCGTCAGCGTGAGTGCTGGGCGGGCGGGCGGACGCGGGACGCTCCTCGGGCAGCTGGATATTCCGCCGGGGTTCCCAGCCCCTGCTCCCTCTCGTTCAGGGCAGTGTTGTTATTTGCAGGCAACGCTAAGTCTCAGAAGTCCCTGAGCAATTTCTGGCACTCTGCCGCTTTTCAGTTGTTTTGAGAAAAACAGAGCCGATTCAGGGATGGGAAGGAAGCAAACGGCTGGACCAGCTGCGCGCGGACCTTGGTTTAAGCCAAGCCATTTTAGCGCAGGTCCCTGACCTTCCTCTGATAAGAATATTTAGTCTGTTTTCCTTGATGCAGCCTCGTCGAGGAATATTTAAGAAAAAAACAATTTTTTGGCTTTTTTTTTTTCACACTGTAAGACGATTTGCTTAGTTTAGGACTTGGAAAGTTAAAATGGGCTGTTCTGGAAACAGTGTGACCACAGCACAATAAAGCTTCCTTTCCTAAGACTGGGTCATCAGAATAACGATCAGATTTAAATGTATTGACTTATGTTTCGAGGTGTATTCAGGCAGTTATGTGATGGTGGCTTCAAGTTCATTCAAGGCCTGTTGTGAGCCTGATCTTGTAGCCTCTTAGAGAAATCATCGTTGGGGATTTGAGCCTGGTTGCTCATTGACATCCTCATTGTGCCAGATGATAATCTTGTCAGATTGACAGGAGCGATGAAGGAAACAGGCTCAGAGGTGTTGGCTTGAAGAAGGCCACCCAGGGTCCAGAGAGGAGAGGAGCCTTGAAGGCAGGTGTCCTGGGTGGAGCCCATGGCTCCTTCCACCGCAGTATATGTTATAGTGTGTGTGTATGTGTGTGCACGTACGTGTGTTATACTTCTCTATCTACAAAATGCGTTCCACACACAATTCTGGCTCTTCCCTCACTGTGGTATTTGTACAAGACTGCTGCCTTCTCTTGTTTCTGGAACAAGACTGTGAACTTAACCAGGGAGTGGCCTCTGGCTGGGCACCCTGGGCAGGGAGGGGCAGCCCAGGTGGCAGGTGGGCAGTGGATGAGGCTGCTCTCTGCCTTCCCTTGGCCTCCCCCTCCTCCCCTTCACTCCTCTCTGCCTCTGCTGATTCACCTTCTCCGATTCTTTCTAGCAATGGCTTGTGGGCAACGGACACGCGATGGATCTCTGGCAGAACTGCACCTCCCCCTCGGGAAGCGTCCACCACTGCTCTTCATCGTCAGCAAATGGTGAGGCTGCCTTTGTGCTCCACAAGCGCGCCCCTAACTATCTGTGACCCATCTGTCAGTCCAGACCTAGAAGCACTGATTCTTGGAAGACAAAGTCAAAAGTTGTTGCTGGGTTGGGGTGGAATGTGGCGGGGAGTTGTGACTCCCAAGATGAATGAGGAGAGGCCAGTTATCTCACTGGGTAGGATGACCACGAGCTCCCTCCTGATCACACTGTGTAATGCTTTTTGTGAGTAAAGGAACGTGTATGCAGGGAACCAGGAAAGGTGGGGTGGAATCTAAACCTTAGGCAGATCCCCATCAGGACATGTGACCTCAGTGGGCAGCTTTGGCATGGTGGCTGTCTCCATCTGGAAATGTCCTGCCTCTTCCTACTGCAGCTACAATGGGGCTGTCTCAAGGATGTGTGGGCCAGCAGATCCCTCAGTTAGGATGATCTTTCCAGGCCTTGTACCTCTGTGGTATCACTGTGCACCAAAACCATCCAGTGTTTCCCTGTGGCAAGATGGGGACTTGGAGCTGTTTGCAACCCTAAGCTGAGTCTGAGTTCTTTCAGCTGGAAGATGGCATTTCTCCTGTCCTCGGCATCTTTGCTTGTGAGATATTGGAAACCAGCCTTAACCAGGGTCAAGTTGAGGGGCTTGTTGACAGCAGAAGCAACCACTAATACTTCCCTTGTGCCCAGAGGTGGCATGCTCATTAGGAGGCCCTGTGTCTTAGATGTGGACAGGCAGAAATAAACACGATGACTGTTTTGATACCTGGCTAGGCCACAGCCGTTGGTGTTGAGACCCCGGGCTTTGGCTTGACATGATCTTTCCTTGTTTTCTAAAGCCTGTGTCTTCAATCTGTACAGGGAAGTGACTATGATACGGCAAACTTTCCTGGGTTTGAAAGGCCAATCAAGTACAACTTTAATGTTGCTGCAGCTACTTATAGATCCACTATCTCGAAACGAGAGGGTGAGAGGCGGTAGCCCACTTTAGGTCCAGCCTAATAAAGCAGGCAGCAGAGTGACCCTTTGCCCAGTTCAGTTTCTTTTGAACTTTCCCTCTTGTGGGCTCTGCACCCAGTAGTACTCGAGCATGTTGCTGAAGCACGTACCTGGAACCTCAGTATAAATAGAAACTGTGAAGTTCCTCATTTGCTACTTTACGTGGAGTAGATAAGGAGTAGAAAATTCTGCATTATGTTTTTACCTTCCTTGGGGGAGTGCAGTGGGGGGAAAGACGCAGTCCTACTGAAGTACGCAGTGCTTAATCTTGTCTCTGGGTGTGTGAAAGACGTTGAATTAAAACCATTCTAGAGGTTGTGTGGTGAGTTTGTATCATGAGTTGGCAATGAAATATCCTCATGAATGCCTGAGAATGTGACCATACCAAAGCCACAGCATCCGGTTTGTCCCCCTTTGGGGTCTGGCTGAAGTTCCCTAAAGACTCGCTACTGACACCTGGTGGTCACAAGTGGTGACTCAGCCTGGAAAAGGCTGGTTTTCTCTGGGCCCCTGGTCCTAGTGTCCCCAGGCGCCATCCCCAAGTGGTATCTGACCACGAGGGGTTGGCACAGAGTCCTGCCCTCCTAGGCCCGGAAAGGAGAAGTTTTGGCAGGCATGTTAAAATGCAGCTGAGTTTCAGCAGAAACGAACTGGCCAAAGAATTGCTAAACTGTGCTTAAACTCTCTGCAGGAAGGATATTGCCCGTTTCTGATTTGCATTCTGTGTCCTCTGTGATTGCGAGTAGCTGTCCTGCCACTTGGCAACAGAGCAAATCTCAAGGAGACAATAGTATTATTTTAATCATGAAACATCTTTTTTTTTGAAGAGGCTTTTGCTGTAGGGCGTGTGCACTCACCAGAAAGACAGAGAGAGGGAGAGACAGAAAGCAAGAAATCACCCCACAGGGGGGTTGGCCACACCGCAATCCTTTCTCCTCCATTCTCCTCTCAGGATCTTGGGCACGCACGTACACGCACTCGGCGTGAGTTTAAGCCCACCGGGTCCGCAACGCAAACCGCGGTCAACTACGCGGGAGTCCCAAACTGTGAAGTTCCTCATTTGCTACTTTACGTGGAGTAGATAAGGAGTAGAAAATTCTGCATTATGTTTTTACCTTCCTTGGGGGAGTGCAGTGGGGGGAAAGACGCAGTCCTACTGAAGTACGCAGTGCTTAATCTTGTCTCTGGGTGTGTGAAAGACGTTGAATTAAAACCATTCTAGAGGTTGTGTGGTGAGTTTGTATCATGAGTTGGCAATGAAATATCCTCATGAATGCCTGAGAATGTGACCATACCAAAGCCACAGCATCCGGTTTGTCCCCCTTTGGGGTCTGGCTGAAGTTCCCTAAAGACTCGCTACTGACACCTGGTGGTCACAAGTGGTGACTCAGCCTGGAAAAGGCTGGTTTTCTCTGGGCCCCTGGTCCTAGTGTCCCCAGGCGCCATCCCCAAGTGGTATCTGACCACGAGGGGTTGGCACAGAGTCCTGCCCTCCTAGGCCCGGAAAGGAGAAGTTTTGGCAGGCATGTTAAAATGCAGCTGAGTTTCAGCAGAAACGAACTGGCCAAAGAATTGCTAAACTGTGCTTAAACTCTCTGCAGGAAGGATATTGCCCGTTTCTGATTTGCATTCTGTGTCCTCTGTGATTGCGAGTAGCTGTCCTGCCACTTGGCAACAGAGCAAATCTCAAGGAGACAATAGTATTATTTTAATCATGAAACATCTTTTTTTTTGAAGAGGCTTTTGCTGTAGGGCGTGTGCACTCACCAGAAAGACAGAGAGAGGGAGAGACAGAAAGCAAGAAATCACCCCACAGGGGGGTTGGCCACACCGCAATCCTTTCTCCTCCATTCTCCTCTCAGGATCTTGGGCACGCACGTACACGCACTCGGCGTGAGTTTAAGCCACTGGGTCCAGGACTCGAACCACGGTCGACTACGTGGGAGTCCAGCGACACAGCCATTACACCAACTGCTGGTCTCAAAACATCTTTTTTTTTTTTAAGTTTATTTATTCATTTCTTCTGAGAGAGAGGAGAAAGAGAGAGAGAAGAGACGGGACTCCCAACCAGGCCCTCATTCCTTGAAGCATCCCCAGCTTTGGCCAGCCAGAATCACAGCAGGCAGGCACATACCTGTAGACAGGGAGGCCTCTGGATGTGAACCCAAGACCTTCCAGTATGGCTTCAGCATTGCCCAGCACTGAATTGCCACTGAGCCACCATAGCCAGCCAAATCTGGAAATGTCTTATCTTTCCTCTTGCTCCTCGTGTGCTAAGCTTGTCTTGTTGGGTTCTTTTGCAGTGACTTTAGTGTCTTTAGTGTGAGTTCCAGATTCACCTGTTGCCATTCTCTCCCACATCTGCCTTCTCAGTCCTTTCAGTAAAGGCATTTTGTGGAAATTGGGACGCACCCCCCAACAAACTGGGTTTGTTTCCCCTAAGACTTGTTCTAACTTGAGAAGTTTCCATTTCCACCCCTCCCCCCCCCCCCCCTCTTCCCCCCCCCCCCCCCCCGTTGAAGTTCTCGGCTGACGTCTTCCTAATGTGTTTGCATGTATTAAACTTCAGCTCTGAATGGTGGCTCCTTGGGGGATCTTAGGCACTTCCAGCTCATTTCTTTACCATCTCTTGAGTTTGTCTCTTGTCTTCATGGACTGAAAGACTGCTAGCACTCCAGCCATCTTGTCCATGCCTTTTCTGCTGAAGTTAACAACTGCTGTGGCAGACAAGAAGGGGAAACAGTAAATAATTTTTGAAATATTAGGTTGCCTTTACAAATGAGTGATAGTTGCAAGCTATTTCCCTTGTCTGTATTTGCTCAGAGTGTTTGAAACTTATTTTTGAGTAATCAAGAGTAATTCATTATTGATATTGATTTGTAAAGAACATGCTGTAAGTGTGTCATGTGAAAATGCATTGGTTTATGTGACTTGCTATTTTTTCCTGAAGAGCCTTGTTTTTCTATGCGTGAGGCCATGACATTGCACCTCTCTCTGGAGGTCACTATTCTTGTAGGTTTCCTTATGACTGGTATTTTTTGATGCTGTGCTGAGGTATCTAACACCTGGGTTCTATAGTTTGAAGGAGACGTATCAGATCTTTCACCCAGTTACCACTTGATATTCAAAATAGTTTTAGATTTCTTATCTAGACTCTGACTGCCTTCTTTATTTTCTTCTCTTTCTTTCTTTTTAAAAAAGAATTGTTTATTTCATTTTATTTATTATTATTTTTTAAATTTGCTATAGGGCATGTGTGCGCAGAGAGAGAGAAAGTAGAGGAAAAGTGAGAAAGCAAGCTTCCAGGACTGGGACTCAAACCGTGGTCAGCCATGTGGGAGTCTAGCACCTTAACCACCATGCCACCTGCTGGATCCAGCCTTCTCAGTTTTCTAAATTGATGCACATACTTTCTGCCTCCTTCCCTCCCCATCCTGGCAGTAGGCAGAGACAATGAGGCTCAGTAGGAGCGTATTCCCTACAACTTTGGATCGAATGCCACTCCAGCTGAGGGAATACAAGGGCCTGGAAATCATGGACTTTGTCCTTGATGACCCAGACCTCACTGAGGAGTCAGGAGATAAGTATGGAGGGATGAATCACTCACTGTTAAGGCAGCATAGGCCAGATGCCCAAGGAGTGGGGGCAAGCAGACAGTGACAGAGTTCAGGGGAGGAAGTGGAAGGGAAATCTCCAGTGGGAGGTGGAATTTGATCCATCCTCCAAAGGATAGGCAGGATTCAAGTAAATACAGGCAAGGGGGAGGACATTCCCTGTTGGGGCAATGACATGACCTAAGCCAGGGGAAAGCAAGGCATGGAACGTGGTATACCAGTTGGCTAATAGTAGGATTCACATTAGGGTGTTATAACAGAACATCTTCAAAAGATCGTGGCTTAAATAAGGTAGTTTATTTCTCTCTCTCTTTTAAAAGAAATCTGGAAGTAAGCAGCCCAAGAAATATGGCAGTTCCTGAAACTGTAAGAGACTCAGTACTTTCTAGCTT